ATGCTGTGAGTCACCGCTCTCGCAATCAAGCAACCGCGGTCCAACCTTAACACACACACACACACATCATACCCAAAAGGTGACTTTGACCCCATTTTGCGAGGTAATGTTTGCTTGTTGCAGGCGCCCGAAGCAAAAGTCAAGCGCTTCAGCGGACATCCACTCAGAGCCCTTGTCGACGAATGGCTTCAAGACTTGACTCGCTGGTAGATGTTCGGACGCATCTATCCCAGGCGAATTGAGCTTGATCGGGATCCTCCTGTCATAGAGCTGAAGGAACTCCTGCACAGTTTGCAAGGCCTTCGGGGACAGTTTGGCGGCCGGTTGGGCAGCTGCTGAGATTGAAGCCGTCGACTCTACAGACGAGTTGGGCAGTGGCGGGGATCGAAGCCATCGGCTCGGCGGACAGTTCGGTCGGCGCTTGGGTCGACTCTGCGGACACGTTGTCGGGCGGTTGAGTAGCGGCTGGGATTGTGCGTGAGACCCGCAGGGGTGTGAACTGCAAGGGCTGGCAGGCACTCATGAGCCAACGGTACGCGAGAATTCTAGGCTTGGGGTGCACGGCGAGCTCTTTTTTGATTGCCTCGGGGGGATCTGTCCACATGCTTGCCCACAGACGCTTCATCAGGATCGGCCTCGGTCGTTGAACAAGTTCGGTTAGGCCTGCGGAGGCTGCTTGTTGAGCAGAGGGGCGGCCAGGAGGAGTCTGCGGCGCTCGTGCAGACCTAGTAGCGCAGTCACGCCTGACTGTATGCGGAGGTTGCACGTGCCCTGCATGCGAAACAGAAGAAGAAGGGCGGTCACAAAGAGCAGAGAGAGGCGTGCGTTCTGCTTGGTCGACCTGCATCGGTTCAGCGGACCCAGAATCGTGGCTGCGACTGCCTGCATGCGGAGCTGGAGCATGTGCCGTATGCGCAGCATGGGGAAACCGATGCATGTGAAGCATGAGCAGGAGCACCAGCAGGACTATGTTGAGCAGGAGCACCAGCAGCAGGGGCTTGAGCAGGTGCTGTCCACTGGACTTTCATTGCAGCAATATTGCGTCGTGTGACGGGGTCCAGGGGCGAGAAAAGCAACGAGAGCTCGGCAGCAGACACGCTCTTGCCGCTGGGGTGCCCAGGCATCTGAAAGCCAAAGTCGCTCTCCACGTCGTCTTCAAGCCTGGCATCAAGCTCCAGTTCTGGGCGCAACACGTTGCGTGCAGTGGGCATCAGCACGACACGGTCATCGTGGTTGTGCTTGACAAGGGACAACTTGATTTGCTTCTTGTCGTCCTGGGGGAGGTTGCACATGTGATGGAAACACGCGTGCGTGGTGCTGAGCGGGGCGACGAGGATCGTGGCCGGCACGAGAAATTTGGCACGACAGGCGTACTCGGACACGGCCTTCCCCCCAGTCGGCCTGACGCGTTTCCGCAGAAGACGAGCTGCTCATGACCGTACTGGTCGTGTTGTCGAGCTCAGGCTGCACCGAAAGGTTCGACAAGGACCCAGCAGGAGAAAGAGAGTCCTCCAAGCCCAAGGACACACGAGCCGCGGTTCTTGGTGCTGGCGGCGCGCTGCAGCATGCCCAGCATACGGACTGTGCTTCTCTGATGTGAGTGCGTGTCACTACATGTGCTTCGACTCGGTCTTTCCGGAGAAAACGATTGAAAACGTCCTTTCCGCAGCTCCCGCAGGTGTAGCCCCTTCGAGGATTTCCATCCTTTCGCGACTCCGTGCCTGCCACGATCACCTTAGAGGCCATATGACACTCTAAGCTATGCCACTTGCTGGGAGAACACCGGGGCATTGTCGGACCGACCAGAGCAGACTCGCCCGAATTGGTCGAAGAGAAGAGTGAGCGCAACCTGGATTTGGATGCATCCAACATGTCCTTTCAAGGCAAAAGAAGCTCAATAATCATCTGGCAATGTGCCACTGGAAGAGAGTAGAAGTAAAAGCGCCTTAAACGGCCTGGCTGGAGCCGACAGGTCGATTTTGCGAGCACCCCTCTTCAAGCACGACCCGCGGCGTCTTTGAGATGCGCATGCCTCTTCATTGAGCTGTTTTCGGACGAGAAAAATAATTTCGTGCTTGGTTTTAATGACATCAAGGGGTGAAGGAAGGCAGAATCAGTCGCCACCTCGACACGAGCGACAAGAGGCGGAAATGGCCGCTGCAAGACATGTCTAGACCCAATATCGCCGCCTTTCAGGTATTATTGCAATGTTTGACATCATTGAAGATATTTGGAATCAAGATGCAGGGCGGATAGGCAACTCAAACAAGAAAAAACATTTCAAAGAAGTAAGGTCGTCTGGCCGATTTCAATTTGAATAAGACCTTCTGTTTGAGACTGTCACTCATTCCGGCTCCGCCCAACCTTTGGGCAATTAATGGGCATATATTAGCGTCACCAATAACCACCGAAAACCCGGTGCAAACAGACCTTGTCAGGCGGGGAAAAGTCGACAAAGCGACATGGCGCGAAAAATTACAAAGTTCAAAGTTTCCAGTCCTGTGCGTCGCTATTGAGGCTCTTCCCTGCGCCTCATCGCCCCGCTTCCAAATTCAGTGCACAATAGCGTGTAAAATCTACACATGGACAAAGTAAAATCCGAGAATAGTCGACCAGAAGCCAGGGAGGGAAGGGATGAATGGCGACCAAATTTGGGGACATCACTCTTCAACCACCACCTCCTCCTCCTTGACGCTCCCGGCCCGGGTATTTGACGGAAACTCGTCCACTTATCGCATGGAATATGTAGAACCGCACACAGACAGTGAGAAGCATCGTGAGGGCGTCGTGAGGCTCGATGTGGCGCGTGTTTCAACCGTGTTTCAACGGCTTTCGTGTTTCGGCCATTCACTTGCGTGTACTCGCCTCGTCCTTGCAGATGCGACCGTGCCTCTTTGGCCACGTGTGTACATCTGTCAACTCTATCTGAATCCAATGCGGCGACGACTTGGCACCGAACACTTGCATCAGGAACTTGACCAA